GTCTCAAACTGGGAACAGTCCAGTTATTCATCAACACCAGACTGGATAAACAGATCGTGGAATATCCATACAATAGAATGCAGCACTCCAATAACATGAGCTACTGTTATATGTAACCCCATGAATAAATCAGACAGGCATAATTTTGAACAAAGCCATAGACAGAAAAGAACACACATTATGTAATTCTGTATATGTGAAGTATAAAATCAGAAAACTAACCTTTGATCATAGAATCCAGAATAGTGGTTATTTTGAGGGCTGGGCATTGACTCAGGACAAGGCAGCTTTCTGGGGTATTAGAAGTGTCTTGTACCTTGAGCTGCATAATGGGGTGTCTGTGCGCACGTGTGTGTGTGTGTATATGTGTGTGTGTAAAAATTGCAAGCACTTTCTATACAAAAGTAAATAAGAAAAAAAATCATTTATAAATTGTATAAGTCAACTTACACGTTTACAATAAAAGTTAATTTTATGAAGCCATCCTAATGAGTAGGAAACTAACCTTTAGAATACCAGTAGAAGCACAGAAGCTGTGTGCACCTGCATACACACACACATGCAACACTCTGCATGCCTGGCCCTAAATTATTCATGGCTTGTTCAGCCTCATTGATTGTCATAGTTGGAGGAAATTTCCCATGTCGTCTGATTCAGTGATTCATCTGAAGCTTGTCTGTAGCCTCCCCTCTGGGTGGCCATTCTGCTTTTGTGAACAAAAGTTTCCTGGTGACCAGAATATGCTGTGATGTTTTGAGGAAAGCCTTGCTCTCTTGGGAGCCCATCCGTAGGCTAAAACCTGTCTTTGTCCATTCATTGGTCTTATTTGTAACCCTGGAGGTCTTGCAGTTAAGTGGAGAAAGAATTGTCCTGTTGCTGTTTACCCTGAACATCATGTTTTATCTTGTACGTCCATGTCCACCGAAAGCATATTTTCAGAAATACTCATCTTGATATTTTTCTCCCCTTTTAATTAATCACAAAACATCTTCCTAACAGGAACTAGATTTTCTAATAAGTCTTTTCAATAATTTTCCCCAGGGATGAAAAGGGATATTCTGAATATAACAATCTGTTGAGTACCTTCTCAGCACCCCTTCCTCCTCCCCGTACTCTAAGGCTAAACACCCTTGTGCTCCCAGGAAGGAGCCTTTTCCTGTTGCCAATATGTGCAAAGATCCACAAGTCTGTAATCCAGTCAGTCATTCAACACCTAGTTACTGATTATTGTCTATGTGCTAGCAATGTTTTAGGTATCCAGTGGTAAGCAAAGACAGATGTGTTATCTGCCTCCCAGAGTTTTCACTCTATTAAGGTTATTCATCACATATTTACATAAATAAATATAGAATTGCCAACTGTGATGGGTCTGTGAGGTAAAGGTACATGGTGTTTTGAAAACACAACCTAGGGAAGTCATCAATGTCAGAGAAGCCATTCCTGAAGAAGTGGTCACGGAGCAGAGGATGAATAAAATGGAAATACGCTAGGAAAAGAGGAGGGGGGAAAATGTCTTTTCAGAAAGCGGAAGAAGCATGAACAAAGCCTTATGATGAAAGGATGGCAAAATAAAAATACCACATTCAAAGGCCAGAAAGATGGCTGTGTCATTGGAGTGGAGAAAACAAAGAGCAATGCAACATGAGATGAGGCTAGACAGACAGGGAGGAGCCAGCTCCTTGAGGAGAGAACTGTTGCCATTGACCTGGGCGGAGTGGCTTGAAGCCAGAGTTGGCTTCAAATGCTGGCAAAAGAATATTCCTTAGAAGGTAGCTGAGCAAACAAACCAACGAGAAAATGGTTTTTGAGAGAGCCCTGCTTAAATTAGTAACTTTGAATTGGGAATGTTGCATCAAGGTCCAGAGCACGATCCATGGAGGAGGTTGTTGTGGAAGATGAGTGGGTCACTCTCTTGGATGTTGAAATCACCCGGGGTTATAGCAAACCTTGAGGTTAAGATGAAAACCATGACACAGTGCCAGATGCTTTGATGAATATGACAGAGTGATCAGGAGGTCACAAATAATTGAGAACTGACCATAGTTGCCATGGTTCTATGACAACTTGTATAATTTCTCTGTGGGGAATTATGTCTTCTAAAGGTGAATGTTAATGCTGATGGTCGTGGTTGCAGTATTTATTAATTTTTATAGCCCTATAATTTTGTGATGTAAGTACTTATTAAACATGCTTAAAATTTGGAGAGGAATTTTATAAGTTGAGAATAAATAAGAGAAAACTGAAACATCCACGTAGAAAGGCCCCCTGGGGTCACTGGAATGTGTAACACTAAGCTAAGATGCCCATGTTTATTCTGTGTCGGAGAGTCAACAAAGGCTGCCTCTGTACTGAGGAAGGTTGAGGTGTAATGTTAACTGTGCTGTAGGAAGAATCACTTGAAAGCGGCTCCTAAGATAGACTGGAGAAGGGAAGGAAGACCAAAGGAGCACAGTTATCAACTGCAGTTGTCTGGGTGAGGACCGATCAAATCTTGAATGAAATCAATGGGAAAGAGAGGAAAGGAAGGGAAGGAGGACGACAGTTCAGAGGAACAATGCCTTTAGGACTCGGTTACCGGCAGGGAAGGCAGTCAAATATGGCAGTAACTAGGAGAGAGGTAAAGCCATAGACAGAAACCAGAAAGCCAGGATGACGTTGGTTTTAGGTGGGAACATGTATTGCGTTTCTGGTGCTGAAGCCTATCAAGGAGAGGTATCCAGGCAATTATGAATGCAGGTGTTAAATTCAGGGCAGAGATGGCCTGAAAAGGCCTCCTATGGTTAACCCCCTAACAGCAAATCCTGGCCTCCTCCTCCTCCTCCGCAGCTCACTCGTACTTTCTTCCCGCTTTCTTCTCCCCTTCATTTTTCCTAACCTTTCCCATTAACTCCTTGGGACTCACAGCTTATTTCTGAGGATAACGTCTCCTTGGTTCCCCATTGTACAGCTCTCTTCTTCAAATACTCTGTTATTTCCTGCAAGCCCACACTTTTTTCTTGCTTAGTCCTCTTCATCTGTGTCCACATACCCCTAATCCACTAGTCAGGCTGCATTTTGTTTGCCCCTTTACTTGTCTGTTTCCTCCCCTAGACTTTGGGCTTTTAGAGGACAGGCACTCATTAAAAGCATGACGTAATTACTCATGTGGGGTTCAGTAATAATTTTTAAATAAATTAACTGACAATGAACTTGAAAGAAAATTTAAGGGTTTTACATTTGGATGCATTCATTTAAAGAACACGAATAGGATTAACCAATTCATAACAAATGCACAGTCCCAAATTTGGTAGACATTACAAAGGTTCAAGAACTTAGGCACATTTTCTCTATCACGGTTATTGTCTCTAAGAAAAATGAAGCTTGGCTCGGATTTGTTTGATTGCCTTTCCTAACACACTCTCTAGCAAAGCCTGTAGAAACCTAATCAGAAAAGCAACACATATTCTTGGAAATGGGGACAGTATCTGTCTTTTTCCTGTACTGTCACTCGTTTTTTCCTGAAGACCTATTGCGATCTAACCATCGGTTTGAACTACTAGAATACATATTTGCCCTCCAATAAAACCAGATCTTTTAAGTCTTGCTTCTCTCCATTTCTGGAACATCTCTCTTTCTGCATCTATATGGACAATGTCCCAGGAGATTCTGGACTAGGAGATATCCTCATAGACATGCCAGAGTAGAAAGGAAAAAAGATGACTGAGTTTAGGATGCTGGGAACGGCACACATTGAATGAATGCCGCTAGAGAAAGAAATCGGGAAAGAATTGGTCAAACAGGAAGAAGAAGACATGGAACCAGGCAGGGTTGAAAAATTCAGGAGGAGAATTCACACATTCATAAAGACAGAAAGTTAATTAATGGTTACCAGGGGCTTTGGGTGACAGATCGGGGAGTGACCATTAACGGGTACAGAGTTTAGTTATGGCATGATAAAAAATATTCTGGAACTAGTGAAATATTCTAGATTCGTGATAAAAATATTCTGGAATTAGTCTATAAAATCCAGACTTTATAAACATGGTCCATACCACTGAATTGTAAACTTTAAAACAATAAGAAAAATCTGGGAGAGGCAAATAAAACAAAAAATGAGTCAAACACATCTAACACCAGAGCTTGAAGATAAATTAAAAGGTGATGGGATTTGGGGATTAGGAAGCCAGTGATGAGCTCAAACGAGAGTAGGTTCAGTAGCATAGTCACGCCCATCTCTTCTTCTTCCTGCTCCATAAATATATAAATTTATAAGTTTCTTCCTTCACATACCATCACTGTTGGCAGAATGTCTGATGATTCTGCAGGTCCAGGAACATGTTTGATTTAGATCAGTTAAACCGATATTCTGAATGTGTTTGGGAGACTCTGAGCATGTGTGCTCCTGCTCCCTGGGACGAAGCGTAAGTCTGTCATTCTTGCTGCTCTTCTAAAACTAAACCTATACAACAAGACCTGGTTAGTTCATGCTGTCTGAATTCCAGGCATCACCCCTGCTGGCCCCAAGTGAAACAGGAGCTACCCTCTGAATTCTGACGATAGCTTTCTATGGTATGGTTCATTGGTGGAGTTCTGCTGGCCTTGTGATCGGCAGAACTGACCCAGCGCTAAGGATGTGTTTTCTCTGAGACACACGTACTTTTGTTTAAACTGAGGATAATAAACTTTAATCTGAACACTTCTTATAAGAAAATAATATGAAAGAACATTGTAATCTATTAAGTATATGTAAATACATTTTTAATTGATATTGTTATAGGATTAGAGACAAATTCTTTATTGTCTTTTTTTTTTTTTTTTGTCTGTACTGGTGTAAGACCAGCCCTCTTAATGCAGGATCACAGGCTTTATATCCACGTACACCTTCCTGAGGGCTGTACTCATTGGTTGAATTGAATATTGTTTAAATGAGAAAACTCCAGTATCATAGCATGATTAACCTCTCTATTGCCTTCATCTTTCATTGTTCATTTGGTTTTTTTTTTTTTCTGCTCTTCATCTAGGCTTTCCCAACGAGCCTGCTGCCGTCATTGCCCTCAGCACCATTAAGGAATGGCTTGCCAAGAATCACCATGAGGTAGGAGGAACAACATGATCAGTGAATATCCGAGATGGTGTAATTTGATCTCAGCTCCCCCCCCAAAAAAGCAGATAAATTTTATAAATATCAGCTAAACCTAGTCATTGAGCCAAAGCTAGCTGACCATTCTTCACTTGGGTTACATGGTTAATTAAATATGCGGTAACTCTCTTGGTCTATTTGATGGTGAAAATGGGTGAAGTGATCAGATTCATTTAGCCATAATCTTATCTTTTACATCTATGGGTAGTATGTGTTATATGTGTGAAAAAGAGAGCAGGATGGATTTCATTAAGAATAAGGAGTTTTCTTATGCTATTTGCCTTAGAGCTATCTTTGTTGACTTGAGATTCCTGGGGTACAGTAATTGTTTGGTATCCTGTGTTCTTTGGATTTGTAACTAATCACTTCCCTAAAGTGACTTCTGAGTGTGAGATTGAAGTGGGCTTGGATAATTGATCACAAAATCGTTATGAGCAGGATTTCTTATGAAACTAAATGCCTTCATCAGAGTATTCATCATGCTTCCTATTCTGCTTACTTAATAAGATCTTTGTGATATATTTAGTGATGAACAGGGGAATCACTCAAGTAAACAAAGCAGCAAAATAACTAGAGACCATGAGCTTTAGATTTCAGAAATGTGTCGATTTACATATTGTTAGAGCAAGGAGGTTTCAGACAATGCACAATCTTATGCATTTTTCTCCTGATTTTGTTTTTTTCTGTTATTCAAGTGACGGCTATAATGTGTTTCATTTTATGATGGGCCATGAATTTGGCTTTTTTCCTTGGGTAGGAGATGAATTATTTGGCAATGATTAGGTATGGAAACAGGTGACAGGGTTTTCAAATGGGAGAGCACTTCGTACTTTTGTGTGTTTTAAGAAACAGCAGTGCCGTTTTCTAATTATTGTAATTGCAGCATTTCTTAACTGGATATGAACATTGCTAATCTCAAGTAGAAATAAAGACCACAGGGCCAAGCCTATCCATTTTGGTGCTTACCCTTTATTTCCCTCTCACTTTGAACTGTGTAAATATGGAAACTTCAATTTAAAGGATATCTTAAATTACCTCAAAGAAGCAGAAGAAAAACAAACAGCTGAAATAACCAGCTTACAAAACATGTCTTTGACATGCGTTACTTTCTTTTCACAACAACCTATGAAATCTTTAGGATAGGTATATGTTATCCTCATCCACATTCTCCGTTAAAAGTTTAAATGACACACTCAACCTTGGAAAGTCACAGAGACAAGAAACTGACCCATTTCTCATAACTCATTGGATGTTCCTCATTGGAATGTCACCGAGGCCAGAAAAAAACACTCAGTTCTTTTAAAAGCCAGTTATCTTCAATATATGGATTGGTCATAGTAAATGTTCCACACCTGGATTATATGCTTTGCAAAAGTGTAGCATGTTGCATGAGTGAAAATTGATAACTGAGCGAGTGTATCAGTGCATATCCATCATTTCCACTAGAGTAGCAATCCAAGGATATGCCCCACTGCAGGAAGTTTTCAGGCATCATCTTGGCATGTGATGGGCATACACATAATCTTACATCATCGAGGATGTGGTGATGAAGAATAAACATATCGGTCACACACACAGCTCGTCGACAAATTCTACTCATTGATTCTCTTTAGCTAAATTATTCAGAATGTTATTTTCCATAGAAATTTTCTAATCTAGTGTCTTCTACTTAAGTCACTTACCGATCCTGTCTTTGAGTCCATTCTTTTCCTTTCATATCCTTTTATTTTTCTGTTAATTTCTTGGGTCCATGGTAGAAAGTATAGAGAATTTGGATTGAGAAACTCGGTTGTTGCTCTTGCAACTTGAAGCATATCCTGTGCTGATTCCCTTTGTAAAAAGACTCCTAGTTTCAATATGCCGATTTAAGTAAGTCAACTGGAACATACCAGGTTTTTCTAAATAAATGTATTATAATTGGTAGATAATAGATAAAAGCTGAATAAATTGATTAGCTAGCAGTATTTTGATTTGTTTTTTGCTCTTTGAAAATAAACAGACTAGGTTAAGGATGTATAAAGGAGTATTGGTTCTAATCGTTTTTGCTTCTTTGCACTATTGTTTTGATGTCCTGATTGTTTAAGCTACTTATTCATTCATTCACTCATTTGATAAATATTTATTGAATCCCCCTAAGTACCAGATACTTTTTTTTAATATATTCTAGGGAGAGAGCACTGAAAAACAAAATCCTTGCTTTGTGGTATTGGTAGTCTAGAAAAATAATTATGTTTACTTAACGTAAATTAAGCAAATATAAAAATAAAGAAATAGGAAATTTCAAAGAGTGCTTTACCGAATAAAGAAGGGCAATTGGAGGATGTGTGTTTAGGTAAAGTAAAGGATATAATCTTGGAACACAGATTTGTACAATGGGAAGGAGGAAACCAAACCATACAGAGGTCTTGAGGTAAAACATTCCACACGGAGGTAACCCCAGAAGAAAAGCCGGAAGAGAGAATGAGCTTACTGCTTGCTAGCTGTGGTGAGACCCAATGTGATTGAAGCCGAGAGATAAAAGAATGGCAGGAGAGAAGTCTGGAGAAATAAACAGAGGTCACATTATAGGGTCTTGTGGTTCATAGAGAGACTTTGAATTTTATTCTAGTGGGTAGTTGTCGAAAAGTTTTGGGCAGGAGAATAACAGATATAATTCACCTTTAAAAAACAAGCCTGACTGCTCTTTGGAAAATGATATCTGATATTTATAAGGTACCAGAGTAGGAAATGGTAGACGCACTAAGAGGATGCTGCAGTAAATCCAGGCAGGAGATGAGAGTGCTCTGGAATACGGTGATGGTATGAAAGGAGGTAACAAGCATCAAGTTTTGGGTACACTTTGAAGATGCAGCCAATAGGACTAGAGGACCGTTTTCAGTTAGGATAGGGTAGCTTATGCCACAATTACAAACAACCCCCAATTCTTGGTATCACAAAGAGCGAAGATTTGTTTCTTGTTCATCCTGTTTGTACATCTTGAATCAGAAGAGAGATCTGACTTACAAACTCAGGCTGACAGACACTCTACCATGTGAAGTATCATCTATCACATGACCAGAAAAGATTGATAATCAATTCCCTTGTAGAAATATTTCTACAAAGGAATGATGCGTGCAGCTTTCGCTCACATTTCATTGTCCAGGAAAAGGCACCCAGGAACTTAGTTCCTGGAGACAAGAAAGTATAGTCTTTTTGTATGTTCAGAATAGAGCAAACTGAATATCTACAAAAATTAGTAATGTCTATTATAAAGGTAAGTCAGATGTGATATATGACAAAAACAGAAGAATCATGGATGACAACTAAATTTTTGGCCTGAGCTGCTGGGTAAATTTTGGTGCATTTACTGAGATGAGGAATATTATTCTAAGAGCATGTTTATATGAAAATATAAAGAAAACAAGAATTGTGTTGTCACGTTATGGATAGTTAAGTCTGAGGTGATTTTAGATATCTAATGAAGATTTCAAATAGATACTTGGTTATTGGAGCATAAAGCTCAAGAAAAGTAGGAAAGAAAGATGTGGTGAAATTGATCAGATTACCATAACCTTAACTTGGGTTTGGCCTCAGCTTGAGATTGCTTGCAAGAAATAGAATATAGTCAAACTAGATTACATAAAGGAGAGTGTGTTGTATAAGCGAACCTCATTTAAAAAAAAAAAAAGTCTTGAAATCCAAGGGCCAGAACTAGAGAGGGGTCTCGTGAATGAATCCCAAACTAGACATCCGGTAAGAACCGAGGTAGCTCATTTTCATTCTCTCCCACTCCAAGTCTGTGTCTCCCCATGTCTTTGTTTCATTATTATCATCATTTTGCATGTTGTCTTTTCTTCTCATTCACCTGCTTACGCGTGGCCCCATCATGATTGTGTCTGTCCATTTGTGGGTCAGTCCTCTGCTCGGTGGACAAGGCTGCATTTTCTGAAACTCTTAGCTGGTCAGGTTTCCTCAGAATTTTCCTTTGAAAAACAAAAAGAGGAATCCATGTAATGTGATTCTCCCATCAGTGACCATACTTTTCTTATTCAGCTGATTTTATTATTCAACGTTTACAAATTTCATGGTTTGTGGCTGTCATTCCCCATAAATAATTGATGCTTTCAGATAATTGATGGGCTTTTACATTTCACCATTAACTTACTCCCTGATTTCTAAACCATCAGGAATGTGCACTTCTCAACACAGTGGTTGATTTGCTTACATTTAATTTCATAAATCATCACCAGCCGGTGTGGCTGGATACTTCCACACCCAGAGAGGCTTGACTGGAGTCCCAGCGGTCAGGAGGAGGAAGTTCATGTCTGTTGTCCACCATCCACTTGTTTAATTTCCCCAAAGTCTGAACTGCAAGGGCACAGCCTATATTTAAGAGGACTCAGAAACCCGAGGGTGAGAGCCCTGCTGCACACACAGTGCAGTGATTCAAACAGTGGCAGCTCTAGCACAAAAGCTAAAGCGGCACTTTAACCAAAAAAAAAAAAAAAAGGAACGGGAATTCTCAGAAGACTGTAACTGAGATACCAAAATGACTTAGAACTGGAAAACATAATGACTCTAGAGTTGAAAAATTTTTTAAAAAGTAAAAGAATATTCACTACTGAGAACTGAATTATTGCCGTGAGAAAATCAGATAGATGAATTATCTCACAACACAGAAGAGAAATACAAAGAAATGAAAATCATGACTGAAGAGGTAAGGTGGCAGCGAAACCCAGGGATCAAACACGAGGCAGGCAGGGGCTGAGGATTACCCACGGGCATTTTCAGCTAAATTAAGTCTTAAGAACATCTGAGTTCAGAAAACCAAAAGAAAAGAATATCAGAGTTGGCAGTAAAAATTGGCAGCACGTAGCAGATAACCTTTCTCTAAGTGCACCATTTTTCTCAAGTAGCAACTTTATTACAGAATAGGTGAGCAAAATAAGGGACTGTTACGGAATTGAACAATGGAA